ATTTGATTGTATACTTGAATGGAGAAACATGATGGATAGTATTTAAAGGAGAAATTTTTGAAATTTTGTGTATTATTTTTTGTATTAACTGCATTCCTAAAGGAGAAAAATATAAATTTGACTGTTGTAGGAGGATTAAGCAATATATTTAAGATGTTTTGGTGGTTTCACAATCTTGTTTCTAAGCACATTTTTTACATATAATATGTTTGTGATGTTCAGATTGTTTTGCTTGTAATGTTTATAATGGAATTCATTATGTTCATTCTAATTTCCTATTAGATGTCGAGAAATTGATACATCATGTTCCATATGGACCATAACATTTAGTAAAAGCTACGAAAATTTTTAGTGAAAGCTTTCTGATCTCTCTAGCTTGTTAATGAATCTGTTGTCCGACAGCCTCACGGGAAACTTGCGTTCATGAGCAATCAATCTGTTAGTTGGGCTACTTATGTAGACTTTAAAATAGAATTCTGAACTTTGAATACATGTGATGTGACAGGGCACAGGTGGTTGGTTGGCCTCCGATCCGTAGTTATCGGAAGAATACTATGGCTACAAATCCATCTAAGAGTAAGGATGATGCTGATGGTAAACAAGGATTGGGGTGCCTTTATGTGAAGGTTAGTATGGATGGAGCCCCCTACCTCAGGAAAGTGGATCTCAAAATGTATGACAACTACAAGGAACTGTCATCAGCACTCGAGAAGATGTTCAGCTGCTTTACCATTGGTGAGCTTGGACTGTTTCCTTGTTCTCCTCGAGAGAGATGTTTTTTTGACTAATAATAGTATCTTTTATGACTCTTCTTTCTTCATGTACTTTAACTGACATGGTTATGCATATCACTTTTGCAACATACTTTTGACTTTCCAGATTTGCTATATTTGGTTCACAAATGTCACAGTGCAGGTCCACTATGTCACCCTTCTGTGTCCCTTGTATCAAACATGGATGCCTATAAATTGAGTAACTCTTTTTATATTCTTAGCATTGTTTTTACCTTTGCTTATCAGCTTTATTCTGGAATTTGTTCTGGGAGGTAAGACTTGGCTGTCTTTTCCTATGACTTGGTTTGTTTTACATGAAGTATGATATATTCTAAATGCTATCGTATAATTTATTTTTTAAGTCTCTGCTTTTACTTGTGTTCGACATTTGTTGTTTTCACAGGCCCATGCGGTTCTCATGGAATACCAAACAGTGATGGATTATCTGAGAGTCATTTGATGGATCTTCTAAATGGTTCTGAGTATGTCCTTACTTATGAAGATAAGGATGGAGACTGGATGCTTGTTGGTGATGTGCCATGGGAGTAAGTGTTCTATCCACTAGACATAAAAAAAAACAAATTGTTTAGGTGGAAGGCCAAGGTTATTGTTGAGCTTCTATAGATTAAACGTGTTATAAACTTCTTGTTTTCTTTCCATTTTGCTTATCATCATAAACTTGCGTTGAAGAATGTATGGTATCTTTTAGTACCTATCGCTGAACAGTTTTCTGTAAATGAACTATGGCTAAATCAATTTAGGCAAGTTTTTAAAGTTAACCAAATACTCAGTTATGAAAAAGCATCAATGCTTGTTACCTTTCGAACCCACATCAATCTGTAATATTTATACCATTTTATAGACCCTCTGACTGACTTTTTTTAGCTTAAGACTATTCCATCTCCTTAATAATGTTTTACTGCTTGCAGAAATCACATGTTCTGATAACACTCCCTTTTATAAGTTTAGTGTTTTCGATGTTATTTGACCGCAGTTCCTTGAAATTTCAGGATGTTCACTGACACATGCAGGAGGCTCAGGATCATGAAGGGTTCAGATGCTATTGGACTTGGTAAGTATGATTGAGTAAAAATGTTCTATTTCATTTTCTTGATCTTGTTTCTTGGATCTGAAAGCATTACAATACAAATGATCTTAAAATCCACAAACCATTCGTGTGCTCTTTGTACCTGTCGAATGAATATGCTATTTCATCTTCTCTCTCCTTCATATAAACATGGTCGGGGTAGTTATCAAATTTTACATTGTACTTTGATATTAATATCCAGTGATCAGTTAGTTAATTTCACAAGTATGATGGATTTAAGTTGGATCTGAAAAATAAGTATCATACAATCATTTAGCGCTTTGATCTTTTAGATCATGTGATACACTATGTGGGTTATTTAATGGTATTCTCGTATGTAGTTTAATTGATCTTTGCTAACTACCACTTGAAGAAAAGAATTCTTTATAGCCTAAAACCTAGTTTTTCACTAGTAGAAACATGTTAAGTGGCGGGTTTCCAGCATTTCATAGTGAGCAAAATGCTTATATGTTAATTTGCCTGTGAAAAATTTATGTTATGACTGTCATCATTGGTTTAATTAGATAGTGATGATTCTGTAGTCCTCTACTTCATAATTTATCCTCTTTTGTCTTTCTTGTGTCTGCTGTGTTCAGATTTGACTATTTCATAATAAACATTTTTGATTTGTTAATTCTACACTAACAAAACCCGAATTTCTCTCTCCAGCTCCAAGGGCCATGGAGAAGTGCAAGAACTGGAACTAGGCATCATTGCCAAGGTTAAGTGAATTAGATGGTCCCAAGTTTCTTGTTGAGGATGAAAAGTTCAAGGGTTTAACTAAGCAGTTGTGTTGTATCATATTCTGCGGTTTGCTGTTTGTCATGGACTACGGCTTTCTATTAGCTTCCTAAGATATAGTAGGGACATAAGCTTTGTAAGATTGTGCCTTGAGTCTTTGTACGCGTCGCTTGTTATTGTTGCTATATGAATGTTTGGGTTGCTGTTTACGACTTATGATTGCACATCGTTTCCTGTTTCCAGTGTTGGTCACAAACGCTTCATTTATGATTCCGATTCTGACGTATAACAGTAAATATGATGAATGCCCGATGGAAGGGCTGTCTCTTTGTGAGGTCTAGCACAAAAGTCGACTTTTTCTGAAATGAATCAGGGATCATGCATGCCCCATGCAGTCCTCTAATGCTGGTCACTGGACCCTCTGTGGTCAATGATACAAGGTCAATAATGCTAATGGTGGCTTTTGTTCTTGTTTGTATTCTCTTCTCAGGTGGTGATCATTGTCCTTGCCAGGGCAACTATTAAGATCCAGGACTTGTTTCCTTTTGGTCAAGCAAAGGTTGCAGAATCATATGGTGTATTCTCTACTTATGGTCATGGATTTTGCAGGTGACTTCATGTTCACTGGAAAGAGGCTCATGATCCAGCTCTGTGATACTGTTCTGGCAGAGATCCTTGGATGCTTGTGTTTGTGTTTGGGTGCTGTTCATGCATTGTAAAACTGTATTGAGTACTAGACATGCATGGTAAAGCTATGCCTGCTATCTTCAAGTGTCTGTGGGGACATGCACTGTATAATTTTTAGTGGTTATGATGTTGTCCATAGAATGGTTCAAAGGCTTCCTCATATTCATCTTAAGATATGAGACAGTGGAAAATGGTGGTGGGTTTATGTTCCCCCAGAATTAGGCTATCCCCTTGGAAGAGTAATGCTCCACTTTTTCTTGGTCTCAATGTCATCTTGTTGCTGTTGGGCATATCATAGGAAGCAACCATATCTTATCTTCCTGGTGCCTTAATGAACTCCCACCAACCCAACCCACCTCTTCCCTGTGCTTTATATTCTCTGTGCATAACACTCATACTTTAACCCAACCCACAAATTTTTCTTGACAAGATTATATAATATATATATATATATAATTTTTTAGAACTATAAACATGTATGGATTATCTTAAAATGAATTCCAAGTCTCCTTGACAATTATCAAAATTTACAAAAGAGATCACTCCAATAATAAATAAAAACAAGCCAAAAAATACCATAAATTCAAAGAACTAGTTGACAACTCCTCTTAATGTAACTTGTTTGGTACAATTTTTTTGGGTAGGAAACATAATTTTTGTCTTTTTTTTATTTACATTTTAATAACTTATCATAGTTATCAAGTAGATTTTGAATTCATGTAAATAATATCACATTATTGAAAAAATAATGTAAACATAAACTGAGTTTTTTTTTAATTTCTCATGAACCAAATTATTACTTTTAATTAATTTTTTACTTTTAAAATTTTGAATATAAAGTATATGCATTTTTTTTTGTCTATTCTGCTTTTCTTATCCTTTTTTTTGTTTTATTTTTCCTTCTTAATTATTACTCCTTCTCCTCTCCTTCCTCTCTTTTTCATTTCCTCCTCCTACCTTTATTCCTTTCTCTGGCCTTCTCCGTATTCTTTGCCCTCCTCATCCTCCTCTTCTCCTCCTCCCCTCTTCGATGCAATCCGCGGCAGGGACTGAGGAGGCAATAATTAATTAGCGACGACTCGAGGAGGGAAATATTGTTTATTCGGTAAGTATTTTTTTCTCGAATTCATCAATTTATGAGATTGAATTTACTAAATGCTTCTACTCAGTTCGAATATAAATAAATATATGAGGCTGGTAGTGATTTTTGTTCGTGAAATCCCAACAATTTGGGTTTTGTTTTGTTTTTTATATAAAGGATAAGTATTGCAAAACCATTAATATTTTTTGTTATATATTACAAATTACATTCATTTATTCTTATCCCATTAATAAAAAGAGCAAGTCATGAAATCTTAGCTATATGAATATGATTTCATCATTGAGTTTTACACAAATAATATTTTTATTACAAACTGCATCTGTTACCAAACAATATTTGTTCATCAGACTTATACTCAAAACAATATTTTTAATTAAATCAAATGTATTTAATTTTCATTTTTTACTCTCATTAAAATCTTTCTTTAGCCATTCATCCATCTCTCACTACTATTAATTAACTGTGTCACCTGAATAATCATCTATTTCCTTCTAACATATTCATACAATTTTAGACCTTTTTTTCTCATTCTATCTTCTGCCAAAGTTATAACACTACAATCCGTCGTCGCAAGATGGCAAGTCTGCACGCTGTTGTTGTTGTTGTTGCTGCTTCTCTTCTTCTGATGGCTGCCTTTGATGGAGCTCTGGTTCATGCTGACTTCTACAACGACGTAGACTTTGTCTGGGGCTATCAGAACGCAGGAATCTGGAACGACGGAAATAGCCTTTCTCTCATGCTCGACAATGTCTCAGGTTTGCACCGACCGGTTGTTTCCGAGCTTAGCTATGTCGGGTTTGCATTCGATCCTCACCCTCTCCTGCATTCATGTTCAGGTTGCGGGATGGTGACGAAGAATCAGTATCTCTTTGGAAGCATCGAAGTGCAGATCAAACTGGTGAAGGGGAACTCTGCTGGCACTGTAACAGCGTACTATGTGGGTTTTTTAGTGCAGAATGCTTGCAGGTTCTCGAGCTTTAGATTTGATTTCAGCTCATTTGCATTCCATGTTCCTTGCAGTTGTCTTCGACAGGGGATAAGCATGACGAGATAGACTTTGAGTTCCTCGGAAATGAGACCGGACAACCCTACATCATCCACACAAACATCTTCACGCAAGGCGTGGGGAACAGAGAGGAGCAGTTCTATCCTTGGTTCGACCCCTCGGATGACTTCCACAACTACACCATTCACTGGAACCCATCCCAAGTCGTGTGAGTTTGCTCTCTGTTCTCTGTGCTTTTGCCTCTACGTCAGCTGCTGAATCCTTCTAATGTCACTCGTTGTTGTAGGTGGTTTGTCGACGGGATTCCGATCAGAGTCTTCAGGAACTACGAGAGCTCCGGCGTTCCATTTCCCAATCGGCAAGCGATGAGAGCCTACTCCAGCATCTGGGAGGCGGACGAGTGGGCAACAAGAGGTGGGCTGGTAAAGATCGACTGGAATTCTGCACCTTTCGTGGCCTACTACCAGTACCTGCAGCTGAGAGCTTGTCCATGGTATGGGCCAAGCAGCAGCGGCGAGTGCTCTGCAGCTTCCCCGGCTAATTGGTGGACCTCGCCGGAGTACAGCACACTGACTTACCAAGAACAGGGACAGATGAAATGGGCGAGAGACAACTTCATGATCTACGATTACTGCAAAGATACAGAGAGGTTCGATGGAGCAATGCCCCCTGAATGCTCTCTTCCCAAGTATTAGCGGAGATGGACGAGCTCGAGTTGATGCTGAAAGTTACCGGTCGATGCTTATTTGAACAAACAAATGAAATGAACGGCTTCGATTCTTTTGTTATTCATACGAGAGCTGAAGAGTTGCATCTGCATGAGATCTATCTTTTCCTTTCTTCCACTGTTTCATCATCTAGTGCTCGAGTGCATGTCGCTCTCGAGTGCTGTTGATGCTGTTCTATGTCAAAATTGTCATCTTTGTTTCCGGTCACACAAAGAAGAAGAAAGTATTTTGTGTTCGTAGTTCCTCTTCTCTTTTCTAGCATTCCTCAACCAAACCTGCCTGAAACGGAAGATGGGATATTAGACCAAAAGTGTGAAGAATGATCAGGAATACTGCATCTTCATATCTGCAAAACGATTTAAATCTACTATTTGTTTGTGAGGATTTCAAATCATAGTAAATACAACATTTCCACGATGATTACTCTTTTTTTTTATTTGGATCCTCTGTTATGCTGCACATAACTATCCATAATACCTCGAAATTGTTTGTCGGGTACATCTGAGCTCAGTGTCTCCAGCCTCAGAAATGCACAACTCTCTCAGACCCCAAGAACAAGCGAAAGAATTCATGGACCTGTTCTAACTTGGGTGTCATATCGAAGGCTTTATTGTTCTTCAAACCACATGAAAACAGCCAGCTAAAGAATATGAATACATCAACCATGGCTAAAGCCTATAAATACTGGTGCATCAGCTTCTTCCTTGCAGAGCGCAGAGGCACAGAGGATGGCGAGTTTGTGTGTTCTTGTTCTTCTGGTTGCCTTCGGCGGCGGTCTGGTTCGTGCTGACTTCCACAAAGATGTAGACTTTGTCTGGGGTTATCAGAACGCAGGAATTTGGGACAATGGTGATGGCCTTTCGCTCGTGTTCCACAAGGTCTCAGGTTTGAATCAGTTGATGCTTAGCTCTGGCTGTTCTGCAGTTGATGCCAGTACTGTTTCATTTATCTTTGCTTTCGATCCGCCCATCTTTTTTATCTACACCCTTGGAAACGCCAACCCATGGTTATCGGAGTCGGATTGGACCGGACGGGCTATTTCATGCCGAAGAATTGTGGACCGGTCTAGCAATCGCTCCGGTTCTTCCGTGGTATCCGAATTGGACCGGCTAATCCGACCGATGGTTTAGTGAACCATGAGAATCGATCAAATTAGATATTTTAGTTAACTAAGATCCGATCGATCCATCCATCCAATAAGAAGAAGCCAAACTACTTTAGTTGGCACGAGGAAGTCGTGTTTGTGGAGCAACTGACACGAGGAACTCGCGTTCGACACAGAAGCCCTTTCTCTGTGTCGGACTCGCGGATTACCCACGTCGGTGGTCGTATCGAACCCGTCTCTCTTCTCCGTTTCTCTTTCCCTCTTCCAAAACACCTGCTCGATTCGAGCCAGACGTTCTCTTCTCCGCCGATCCTTTCGTCCTTGTGGACTTCCGTCGGATCGGTAATATTCTTCTTCCTTTGGAATACCGATTGGTTAGGGTTTCTTTTGAGGATTTTCTGTAGCATTTGTTGAATTCGTTTCTTCCAAAGGTTGTGTTCTTGATCGGAGCTGCGATCCGTCGGATTAGGTGTTCCGGTGGTCGACTTCTGCTGTGAATCTGGAATTTTGGAATACAGGAAGCTGGTTGCTGGTCGATTCGAGTGATTTTTATTGTTGTTATCTGGATTTCGTGGGTGTAATTGATTGGGATTCGCCGTAAGATCTTGATTTGTGAATATGGATCAAAGCCGGAGAGCTGTGGAAGCGTATTGGAGAACTCGCATGGTTGATGGGGTGACCTCGGACGAAGATAAGGTCGCTCCAGTATACAAGTTGGAGGAGGTTTGTGAGCTTCTGCGAAGTTCGCCTGCGGGCATTGTGAAGGAGGTCTCTGACTACGTTCTCAAACGGCTGGATCACAAGAGCCCAGTAGTGAAGCAAAAGGTATTAGATTATAGACATTTTGTTTTACTTTAGCAATTCTTTTTTTTTTTTTTTTTTCTGTGCGTCAACAATGTCTGTATCTTCGATGTTCATTTTACAAAGCATGATGCGATGAGACGACGTTTTTTTTTTCCCTTTTGTTTTTTTTTTCTCTGTGAAACAAACATATCGTGACAAGTTTCTTTTCTTTCTCTACCTCTTTTTTTTTCGTCTGGATTCTTCATGCAGATGGTGTACAGATTTTATAAACGAAGGATTATGGTTTTTTCTTGTTATTTTGTCACTGCCACATAACATAGTGCTTCCTATATATCGCACATGTAACAGAACCATATGTTGGGAAATAAGTACTTGTGTATATTTGTCTAAAGCGTTCTATCAAACGGATGGGACTGCAGTCTATATGCCGATGTACAGAATTTATACTGTTGCATTGAACAATTGATCCTTGTTTTCTCTTTCCCAAGGCTCTTCGGCTGATCAAGTATGCAGTGGGAAAATCTGGAAATGAGTTCAAGAGGGAAATGCAGAGGCACTCGGTAGCAATGCGTCAGCTGTTCCATTATAAAGGTCAATTAGATCCGCTGAAAGGAGATGCTCTTAACCAGGCTGTCCGTGACACTGCTCATGAGGCAATTGCTGCCATCTTCGTTTCTGAGGACAACAAGGGAGTAACACCTGTGCAAGGCCTCAATAAGCGCATCGAAGGCTTCGGAAATACAAATTTTGAGGTTCCAGCTGGAGAGAAAAGATCGTTTCTCAGTGAAGTGGTTGATCTTGGCAGTGCCTCCATCAAGCAGGGACTTAGCACCATTGCTGCTGCTCATTCTTCAAGGAAAAATGATACTGGCAGTTATAAGAGCCCTAACCTCAGAAGGTCTTTAACAACAGAAGTAGATGGTCGTAATGAATATGGAGGAAATGAACATCAGAGAGAAAGTTGGGAAGTTTCTGAGATCTCAAAAAGAAACTCCGGAACATGGAGCCCTGGTTCGAGAGTGAGCAAAACCACTTCTGTGGCAAATGAGGACACAAGTTCAAGTAATGCAGAGGTAAAAACTCGTGAGGGAAGGCTTCTGGAGACAATTGTTACATCTGGAGGTGTACGTCTACAACCAACTCGTGATGCATTGCAGGCTTTTCTTGCAGAGGCTGCAAGGTTGGATGGAGTGGCCATAAGTCGTGCCCTGGAGATAAAACTCCAATCACATTTGTGGCAGGTAAGCTGACTGACCAATCACTCTTTTGATCTGCTCATTAGTTTCTCATGGAAATGTTTAGTTAATTTTTAGATGTTTTTACAGAATATTGTGCACAACTGCACTTATGAAACTTCCTTTTTTGTATCTAATTACAAGTTTTTTCTGTATATTGGTGAAAAACTCATCTCCAAAAAAATAGTGGAATCTTTAGATGGCATGTTCCAATGACTACAAATGGAACAGTATTAAATATTAAGCGTTTATAATTTCTTGCACTACCATGTAACAAAAAGTGATGATGGGATATACCCTATATTTCATGTGTTTGTTGTTTGACTTTGATGCAGATCATCTGAGTGCTAAGTTGATAACTTATGTGGATCTCAATTTTTGTTAGTATACAATTTTTGTTTTATGTGGATCTCACATTTCCTATGAGCAATTTACAAGTTGGTGGATTATATGGAGTTATATTAATGTCATTTTTTGTTTTATTTGGCGCACTAATTTTAACTCCATGTTTTCCACTACTTTTTTATTTCCTAGTTTCTTTTCTATCTTAGTATGACAACAAATATTGGAGGCTTGGAAGCTAATTTTTCTCGTCAAGGCAGTCTCATTTTTGGTAATTTGGTTGAACAGATGTAAACACTTTGCCTGGTAATGCTTGATGTTAGACAGGACATGGATTTTGTTAGTGGGTAGTATATAGTTTAATCCAACATTTTATTTGGATAACTATTTGAAGTGAAACCGAATAATATACTTTGGATAAAAATCTTCGTTGAACTTTGTTAATATTGTAAAGTTTACATGGTGTTTTCAGGTCAGGATGAAGGCTATGTGTGTCTTGGAGTCAATCTTAAGGAAAAAAGATGATGAGCACTTCTTTAAGATAGTGTCTTATTTTACTGAAAACAAGGATTCTGTGGTCAAATGTTCAGAGTTACCACAAGCTTCTTTGAGGGAGAAGGCAATAAAGGTACTCTATGTTCAAATGAATTTGTTGCCTAGAATAATGGAATGACTTTGTTAACATTAAAAAGTATATCCTCATATTGCTAATTGCACTTGTAAGCTGGGTATATGTTATGATCCCTCATGAATGGGTGCTTGCATTCTGTTCCACAATCAGATGAGTACTTTTTTATTAAAAATTTGGTGATAGAGAGCCATGAACAACTTATTGGAAAATTTTGTATAGCAGAAAAGGTTTCTTTCAAATACCTATGATTTTCATCCTTGGTTTGTGTCATTTACTTGTTGTATGTTGTTCCCTATTCAGAATCATAAGTGGCTTCGACTTGTTTATAATCCGACTTCAGGAATTTTAAGTAGTTCAATATCTATACTACAGTGTTTTAACAAAAATCAGATGCTTCCTTAAAGTGTGTGCTACCTGAACCCTCCTAACAGGCCCCTCTAACATCCTCTCGTTTTTATCTTCTCTGTTCTCATCCTCTCTCTCGGTGATGTCCTCTTTCATTCTTGTTGTTCTTGCCCTCTCTCGATTTCACTCTCGTCTTTCTCATCACTGCTGTCTTTATTTTTTTTGCCATCATCTTTTTTGTAGTTGTTTCCTTTCAAAATCATTCTTTTTTCTTCTCGTGTTACCTAAAGCCATGTACTAATGCCCTATATTTTTGTCAGCCAACACATTAGAGTTGCAAATTTTATCTTTTGGTCATCAAGTTTCATGAATTCAATTTATAAGAAAGAGACATTTGACAACTATATTTTTGTTATTTTTTATTATAAAAAATTGTCATATATATTTGTGTATAATTATTTTTTGATTTTTTTAATCAAACTTGTGGTCCGATCTTTTGACTCAT